AGAAGGCGAAGCGAAAGAGCAAGGCGAACAAGAGAGAGAGAGAGAGAGAGAGGGCTGCGAACAAGGAATTGATACATTTGATTCGGTCGCCGAGGACCTGAGAGGACCAGGTACAAATGTGACAAAGTCGAACTGTCAACTGACTTCAGGTATCTCATGGGTCTGGAGCTCGGAAGACCCTCGCACACTCCTTCACGTAATTTTTGACTTGTCAGAAATCACACCAGCACCACGTCAAGACCACAGCCAAAATGGCACGGCCCTCCTCTGTCCGGACCATGACCTCGCACACATTGACCCTCCTCGCTGTGTTGCTCCTGACTGCGTTGGTTGGGACATGCACTGGCGAAGCCGTGTTGGAGGAGGACGATTTTGGTCGCCTCATCATCAACACCACGGACCCTTCCCAGCCTGTGCTGGTGAATGGCGTGGATGTGCAAGAACTTCAACACACGGTGGCGTCCCTCGTCAATGTGGCTCGTGGCAGTTCCTCCTCCATACACCCGTGCTCGATTGGACTGGACACCGCCGCATTTCTTGGTCACAAGTGCGAGACGCGACTCGTTGGCGGCGATGCACGCCCATGGACGCTGGCAGCTCGCTTCTCCAACGATGGCGTGGATACGTGGACGTGGAGCAATTACATTTTGTGGTCTAACAACGAACTGGTGGGGACAGCGCAAGGCAGCGGCGACTTCAAGGGTACGGCCTGGTTCGGTCAGACAACAGACTTGCTCTTCGTGTCGGACATTGGCGAGTGGATTGCATACGAGGACGCGCTCGCCCAGCAGTCCCTTTCGTCGCTGTTTGCGAGCGTTCCAGTACCCTGCTCCTCAGGCTGTCCGTCGTTTGCTGCGACACAACAGAACATTACAAGCAATCCCGATCGGTGTGATACCAAGGTGTACCTGAATCCTCGCGACCATGACCCGAACGGGCAGTCACCTACATGTGGTTTCGGCTGGAGCTTCCGCTACAATCAGGCGTGTCCACTTGATGATGTTGGACACAGCGGCTCCCTTGGGCCCGACAGCTATTTCGCGACTGAAGAACAACGAGTTCTCGGTTTTCTTGGACGGGATTCTGATGCGACATTTGTGGAGCTGTACGTGCGTTGACTTGCCCTCAGTTCTCCGGTTGCTGCAATTTGCACGGTTCTATGTACTCTTGGATCGCACGTGTGATGCGATATGATGCGCTGCAGCTTCTTGCATTTGGTGCACCATTTCAACCTGAAGCCCACCTCAAAAGGGAGGAGGTCGTCTTCCGTGTAGAGGTGTAGCAATCACATTTTGTCTTTTCTTTTTGTTCCTCTTTTTGTCTCATCTCACCCCTGTAAGTGTTGTAGTTCTAGTTCTGAGGAAGTCCTTTTCCTCTTATTCCTTTCTTTGCCCTAATTCTGAGTCTGTGTGCTTCACGAGCAAGAGTAGCTGCTTCAACTTTAGAACTTTGAGCACTCGGCCATCGGCCACAGCACACAGTCCGTTGAGTTTCCTTGTTCCTCTTTGTTGCTTTTCTGCTCAATTCCACGCTTCCACCCAGCCCTTTCTCTCACACTTCCTTCTTCGACTCTCTTGGCATTCCGCTTCCGCTCCCCTCTTCCATACGTTAACTGTTACATCGACATAGCTCGCACACTCACACACGCATACACACTGAAGTAAACAATCCCTGCAGCGCAGTGCAGCAGTGCCCGACATCTCTACATCTCTACATGACTGACAAGATGTAGAGATGTACGACCTCATGTGACACCACACAAGCTCACGGTGACGTGTGTTTGTGTTTGGCTTGAAATTTCTCCATGACACCAATCAAACGTCCGAACTGAGGAGCGACAAAGGCGGAGGACAACACAAACGTCGCAAACACAAACACCCTTCCACACCACACCTCGATGGACTGGGCGAGTGAGGATGCGCACCTGCGGGAGCGGCTGACCGCGCTGGTGCAGTTGCGAGAGCGCATGGGCGTGAGCCCCTTGCCAAAAGAAGTCGTGCAGGCACTGGAGGAGCGTGGGCGACGCGCAGAACAACAACAAGAGCAACAACAACAAGAACAACAACAACAAGAAGGACAGCAACAACCATCGCAGCAAGCAGGGGTTGCAGGAGCAGTGGGACGGCAAGGGCGCGCCCCAGACGATGAAGAAGGCGGGCTGGAAGCCGACGAAGCAAACAAGTTGACAAAGGCGCTGTGCGACCAGGTTGCTTGTGCACTGCGAGAGCCGCCGCAAATCTCGACAAAAGGCGACATGGACATGACACTCCTGCGTCAGCACGAGGACGTGCAATACATCCACGGGTGTTCGTGCCCAGAGAGCATGGCTCACATGCTGCGGTTTAGTACCAGCGACAACTACGACCTCGCTCGCTTCCTGCGTGCGCGCAACTACGACGTGGACAAGGCGGAGGCGATGCTGCGTGGGTTTCTGAAATGGCGAGAGGAAGAGCACGTGCGCACGTGCTTGCTGCGACCAGACCCCATTGAACTGCTGTGGCAATGCCACTCGCCCGCGGACCACTATGGTCACGACCGCATTGGCAGGCCCATTGTGATTGAGCGCATCGGCGTCGTCCGGCTACACAAGCTCCTCCGACTCATTGAGCGCGAGGACTTTATGACGCGCCACTCGCGACTCATGGAGGTTATGTGTGTGTTGTGTTGTGTGTGTTGTGTTGTGTGTGTTGTGTTGTGTGTGTGTGTGCGTGTGTGTGTGTGTGTGTGTGTGGGTGGGTGCGTAGGGGTGCTCATGAGTGCTGTTCACTGTGCATATGCGTTTCTGCACATCTCGCTTTGCCGTCCTTTTCTCACGCCCGTTGTACCGCACTGATGTTTAGATGGTCATGGCCAGCGTGCGGTGCGCACGGCGCAAGTACGGCGCGCACGTGACGCAGCACGTCGTCATCATGGACCTCAAGGACCTCTCGTTCCGTCCACATCCCGCCTCCATCCCACTCTTTCGCCAGAGCATCGACATGGACCAGGTGTGTGTGTGTGTGTGTGTGTGTGTGTGTGTGTGTGTGTGTGTGTGTGTGTGTGTGTGTGTTTGTGTGTGTGGAAGTGGAAGTGTGGTGGGCGTGTGCGAACAACCATGCGTTCTGATGCCTCTTCCATTCATGGCTGCAACTTGCTGCTGCTGGTTTGACAGAACTATTTCCCACAATGTCCCTTATGCCACACACTTCCACACACACACACACACACACACACACACACACACACACACACACACGCACACACACACACACTTCCACACACACACACGCACGCACACACACACACACACACACACACACACACACACACACACACACACACACACACACACACCGCGCACAGGTTCATCGATGCGTCACAGCTGCCGGAAGAATATGGCGGGACGAGCACGCGGCCGTTTCCGCGCCAGCAGCCGCTGCCGTCGGACTGGACGCCACCGCCACTTGAGGAGCGCCGCCACCCGCACGTGCCGGCGGACGAGGAGGAGCAGAGGGAAGAGGATGACGCTGATGGTCTCGGTGCAACACGCGCACGTGATGACGGACCCGGTGCGGGTGAGGGAAATGAGACACAGCACATGCAGGCCGAGGCTGAAGCCAGTGTGGACAACGGCAGCAGCAAGCGCAGCAACAGCAATATTGGCACTCGAATAGCTACACACTGTGGGCATTGTGGTGTGGGCAGAGACAATGGTGGGTGTGACTGTGACACTGTGAACAAGGGCAAGGTGCGCAAGGTCAGCACTGCTGATAGGAACCCGGACAGCGCTTTCAATTACAACCATGCTGACAATGGATGTGAGCACAACGACGACAACAATGGGACGGACGAAGAAGCAGATGTGCAGCAGCACACGCGTGTCCTGCAATTGTTGCAGCGTCTTGCCACGACGCCTATTGATATGGAGCACACGCATGTTTAACTCGCACGCGCGCGCGTGTGTATGTGTGCAGTGTTTCATTGTTTGCTGCTGTCATTATTGATATCACGACATTGAACGCGTGTGTATGGGCTTATGCATACGTGTACATGCTTGTGCGTGCGTATGTTCGTGTGTTCGTGTGCGTGTTTGTCTTGCCGGTGAACAAACTCTCCTTCACTGTCTTCACTGTCTCCACTGTCTTCACCGCCTTCAGTGCCTTCACCGCCTTCAGTGTCTTCTACCTTTAGCTTTCAATGCCCTGCTGTTACCCCAGCCTATGTGAAGCCACCCTTCACCTTATCAGCGCCTTTGCGTTGTTGTTCTCCTGCGTTGCTGTTCTCCCACCACCTCTTCTGGTTGGTTCTACCGCCTTGCACTCTTTGTGCCTTGAACCCAGCACCACGCAGCCGGCCTACCTACAATAACTCACCTCGCCTCAACACTCGCACTGCACGTGTCTTCCACATACATGCACGTGACTGACTGGCTGTGTTCGTGAGGTGATCAGTGGTGTGGCACACACTTATGTCTCACGCCATGGCACACCAACACCACCACCATGTTCGCACATCATCGTCATCCATCTTGTTCCCACACCCGTCTTTTATGAACAATTTCGTACAATTTTCCACAACCGCAACTGGAAGGACAGCCAGTTTTGTTGGTGGGAGTTTGCGGTGTGTGGTGGTGTGTGTGTGTGTGTGTGTGTGTGACCTTGTTGACATGAGGTGGTTCGTGTGCTGGATACCCACACACGCAGCTGATGTTGCTCACATCACATCACATCACAACAACACATAGTTAGCACGTCGGGTCAATGCGCTTCGTTTGTTGTTCGATACAATGGTTCGCGCTATTTGTGTCGTTGCGCGACATTCATTCCACCTCGATTGTGTGTGCTTGCGTTTCTAAAACAAGCACCGTGGTGGCCACATTGGTGCGTGCCCTTCCCTGCTCTCCCTCCCCATCCTCCTCCCACACACACACAAGTCAGCCCACAGTCGGCTTCCCCATGATCCACTCCGTCACATCCACCCCCTTTTTTTCATGAATCGTCCTGCTTCATCACTCAGCGTGCCGTGTCATTCAGCATGGTTGCATTGATCGCCTTCGTTTTGTTTGTGGCGATGAATGGGCGGCGAGCCATTGTCTCGCACGCTCGCGTCAATGGCATGATGCCTTCTTTGTTTGCCCCTTTTTTGAATGAGCGTATTGCTAGAGGGGTTGTGTCAGGGTCATGACCCGGGTGATGGGAGGGCACGCACAACGCAGTCTTGATCCTGGTTGGTTTGCAGATCACAAACACACACACGCACGCACGCACGCACGCACAGAGCCACCGCCTGCAGGGAGATCTTCCTTCCTTCCCCTGCTCAGCCTCTGGTGCTTTATTCAGCGGTCGGCGAACACGCACACAGCACACGCACACAGCACAGGCACGGCACGCAAACGGGCACGCAGGCAGAACCCGCCAACACGCACACATACTCCGCCGCAACTGCTCATTTATGGGAACGTGCACGCAGCCTCTTCTTCTCCTTCCGGTCCTTCGTCTTCTTCTGGACTCGCTTGCCTGTGGACGTGCGTGCTTTCTGCGACGCTTCATATCTTTCCCAGCGCCTGCGGCAGCAGCAGCACCAGAAATACATCCTCTCGAACTGCAAGGCCTCCCGCCTGACCGCACTGTGCGTGTGCCTGTGTGTGCGTGTGCCTGTGTGTGTGTGTGCGTGTGCCTGTGTGCATGTGTGCGTGTGTGCGTGTGTGCGAGACAAGCTGCTGTGAACCAAGTCGGTACCCAAGCACTTCTTTGTTTCCCATCTTGTTGACGGGCTGCCGTGCACCTGGATTGGACGAGGCCTTTCCTTACAAGCACTTTCAACGTCTGACGCAAGAGGACATCATCGTTGACCCTCCCCCCGACCAACCCATCACCTTCATCAACGTCGTGCTGTTGCCGTCACCACCACCTCTGCACCCGACAAGACATCACCCATCCGCCGAGCTGCAACAAGCAGGTCATATCGTCTGTGCCACCTCTCCGCTTCTTCTGTCGGAGCCACGTCCACTTCTTTGGCTGGCGTGAAGTGACGGCATGAGGCGGGCAACCCGATCACCACCACCACCACCACCACCTCATCACCACGAGCACCATCAGCAACGGCAACGGCAACAGCCATCACGGCAAACATTACAACCACGGCAACCACAGCAACCACGCCAATCACGACCATCATCGTCATGTCTTCAGCATGAACGGATGCAAGACCAACAGCGTCGTGGTGGACGTCGATATCGATATCAGAGCCACCGGCGCACGAGCATGCAACGTGTGCTGTCGCTTTTGCTTGCAATGGCGATGGTGGTGGCCATCACCGTAGGTGCGTTGTGCGCCCTCCCCATTCAGATGTCGGCAGCGCAGAAGCCAGACGGCCCGCTCAAGGTCGACAACCTTGCCGATATGGCACCAACGGCGTTTGAGGACTTCAAGGAGCTGACCGACTCGGCCAAGATGGCGGCTGCCATGAACCTCGAGGCTCTCAACCTGCCGGTCCTGAACGGCAACACGCTGCGTTTCAACAAGGACGGCAGCATGTTTGTTGTCGAGTCGTACCCGGCACCACGTCAGCGCCGCTATGCCGACAGTTCCCAGCAGCAGCAGGAGGACTGGCAGAAGGAGGAGGAGGAGAGCATGCGATACCGCAGATACTTGCGGGAGCGGTGGCGGAACGCCGCATATGATGTCATTGACGGCGCGCAAGACTGGACGGGTGGTGCTGATGGTGTTGGGTTTGGTGCTGATGGTGTTGGCTATGTTGATGATGGCCGACGCAGTCGCCGCTACATCTCGCAAGCGTCGTCATCCCTCCAAGTTCAGCAGTGCGGTGAGTTTCTTTGCGTGTGCGTGTATGTGTGTGTGTGCGTGTGTGTGTGTGTGCGTGCGTGCGTGTGTGTACGTGCGTGTGTGTGTGTGTTTTGTGTGGCTCTCTCTCTCTCTCTCTCTGTGACTGTACGTCCTTCGTGCGACTTTCGTGAGTCCTTCATGTGTCCTTCGTGCGTCCTTCATTTCACCTTGCCACTTCCTCACCCATGCGACCTTGCTTCTATCCATCCCTCCTCCCCCCAATTCACGCCACCAACTCACGTCACCATCACCAGAGGTACCCGTGCTGCATAGCCGGCGCGGCGCCCGTAACAGAATTGTGCTTGACTTTGATGGACACACCGCACGTGCCATCGACAGCACGTGGGGCGCGTTTGCAGCAAAGGCGTATGACGTGGCAGGCAACGGGCCGTGCTTCAATGCGGCAGAGCAGAAACACGTTACGCAAGTGTGGGCACGCGTTGCTGAGGACTACGCTCCCTTTGACGTGGACGTGACGACCGAACCGCTGGACCAAACGTCCACCACCATTCATGTTGTCATCACGTCTGCTAGGCAGGAAAATGGAAAGCCCATGCCATACTCTGACTCGGGCGGTACGTACGCACGTGTGTGTGTGCGTGCATGCGTGCGTGCATGTGTGTGTGTTTGTGTGTTTGTGTGTTTGTGTGTGTGTGTGTGTGTGTGTGCGTGCGTGCGTGCGTGCGTGTGTGTGTGCGCTTTTGCTCTTGAGTGCGAACACAAATTGAGCATTTGGTACTGCACAGTGAAGTGCAAGATGAGCACACACACTCACGCACACATACAAACATGCGCTTGTCATGACCTCATGCTGATTGACTCAACTGTCCCTTGCACACCGCAGGCGTTGCTGTGATTGGCGTGTTTGGTTCCCCCTCCATCGCGTACTATTCGCCAGCGCTCGGTATGAACACGCCGTTCATCGCTGCAGCTTGTGTTCATGGTGTTGGTGTTGACGGCAGGCGTTCGTGTCATGGTAGTGTTGGTTAGAGTGTGTGCACCAAACTGCATATATGTACACGTACAAACACACAAGCATCCCCAGTCATCTCTTCTGCTTCCTGCTCACTTGCGGAAATACGCTCTTCCTGCGTGCGCATGCGTGTGTGTGTGTGTGGACATGTGCGTGTATGCGTGCGTGGGTGTGTATGTGTGCGTGCGTGGGTGTGTGGACGTGTTCGCGTTTGTTTTATTGTCTTACCCTCCCCCAACCTCGTTCGTCGTGTGCACTGCAGTGTATTGGGACAACCTCAACTTTGGATCGGAAAGCCACGTCGCCGACGCCATCTCACATGAGGTGCAAGCATCGCTTGTGCACGCAGTGTGCATGTGTGTGTGCTGTGTGCGTGCATGTGTGCGTGCATGTGTGTGTGTGTCGCGCCTTACTGCTGGCCTTTGTACATGGTATCAAGTGAAGATGACGACCTGTTTTGAATCATCTTGATGCAACATGAGCTCACCCACATTACCACCCTCTCCCCTTTGTATCCGTTGATGTGCTTGTGAATCCTTTGTCCAACGATCATGAAGGCTGGCCACAACTTGTGAGTGAAGTGCACGTGTGCGTTGCGATGACACGTTTGCAGTGGGGGGTGGTATGTGCTCGTTTGTACACTTTTCTACGCACGTACACACACGCTTGTTCTCCATGCACGTTGACATACCCATCCACGCATACGCACATTGTCTCACTCTCACCCACTTTCGCACGTACATGCTTCTCTCCGGTCACACAACCTTCACCAACACAGCGGGCTTGGACACGATGGGTTTGGCAACAACGAGTACTACGATGGGATGGATGGCACCACAGCCATGAACTCATGGGGTGAGTGAATGCACTTGCAGTGGTTGTGGCGGGTGTGCTCGTTGGGTATTGTTGTCGGAAGTGAAATTGGACACGCGTTTTTAAAGCTGCACGCTGTGTGTTTGTTGTGCTCATGTTGGTGTTGTATCATGTGCGCGTGCTCCCATGTCCATTGTACTCTGCTCACCGTTTTGTCGCTCTCTTGCGTGTGTATGTGTTTGTGTTTGTCCCTTCTCCCTTCTCCCTTCTCCCTTCTCTCTTTTGGCCACAGGACCCATCATGGGCGCACCATGTAAGTTTCCTCACTGCTGCATCTCTCAGCACCCCTCATGAACAGCACAAACAAAGACACACACACACGACACACACACAAGACACACACACACACACGACACACACACACACACGACACACACACGACACACACACACACACACACACACACACACACACACACACAGTCGATGAACTTTCTCTCACCCAAACCATCACCCCGAACAGACGGCCGTGCGTTGACGCAGTGGTCGCGAGGAAACTACGCCGGCGCAACAAACTCGCAGGACGACATCGACATCATTACACGTCAGACCGGTTTAGCGATGGACGAGGCGGGTGACGGCCCGGGAACGGCGGCCTCTGTGGTGTACACGGACAGCAACGCGTTCTTTGCTGACGGCGTCATCTCCAGCCACGTGGACAAGGACTGGTGGGTGGTGCAGCTGACGGACACGGGCAGCATCGAGGCAACGGTCATACCATGGTTTGCCAGCGAGGGCTCGGCAGGAAACAACGTGGACCTCAAGCTCACCATGTACGCCAGCGACGGGCGGAGCATGGTGGTGCGCAGCAACCCCTCCGGCGACACCTCGGCCTCCATCTCGCGAACGGCGTTGCCTGCAGGCGTTTACTTCCTCGAGGTTGACGGCGTGGGCGACGTGGCGGTCTTCAACAGCGACTACGGCTCCATTGGCCAGTACCGACTCACGGGCAGCGTGTCCACTGGACCACCACCGTCAACACGCGCACCGCCAACACTCACGCGCGTGGGCCCAGACCCGCCACCACGCAGCAGGGAGCCGTGTGCACCCGACAAGTACGAGGACAACGACGTGCACGAGCAAGCGTACGATCTGACATCGGAGCTGACGTCACCACAGCCCGGTGGTGTGCGCGGCACCATCTGTGCACGGGACCTCGACTGGTACCGCGTGCCCGTTGCTGCGCACTCCACCATCATGATCATCATGTACATTGATGTAATGCGCGGTGATCTGGACCTGCTGTTCTTCACCCCGGACGGCATGCTTGTGGACGAAAGCGCCACCGTCACCAGGCAGGAGGGCGTGCAGTACACGGACCAGACTGGCCACGACAGCCTGTGCTACGTGCTTGTGAGGGGCGTGGCCGACTCGCAGGGCAACTACTCCCTCCACGTGTATGACTCCTCCATGAACGGGTTTTGCGCGTACGACCGCTTTGAGCTGAACGACGCCCCCTCGAGTGCATACGACCTTGCCCCACCGGTCAACACCTTCAGCGCGTGGCTGTGCTCCGACGACCAGGACTGGTTCCGCATTCCCGTGTGCGCCGGCAGCGACATATCCGTTGACGTTTCGTTCTCGTCGACGGACGGCAACATCGACGTTGTGCTGTACGACCCTGACGGGCGCGTGGCTGACAGGAGCACGGGCACAGGTGGCGTTGAGCGCGTGTTCCACTCCAACCACGGGCCAGAGGCACACTACCTCTTGCACGTGTACGAGAGAAATGGCGATTCGGCAACGTACACCGTGCACATCACGCGGCAGTGTGACTACCCAAGTTCCACCATCAGCACAATCATACCGCTGCATACGACGATGGACACACCACTCGACACGTCGGCCGCGCACATGGCTGCGCCTGCCTTCCTCACGCGAATGTTTGGCAGCGTGAACCATGGTGGCACTTACGGCGCGCGTGCGCTTGAACTCATCACGGCCTTTGCTGCATACGTTGTCGTGCGCTGGCTCGTGTAGAGGACCATGTTTTGTGCTGCTCTGCTTTGCTTGATTGAAGGTGGTTTTGGGTTTGATTGATGTGCGCGCTGTTTATTTGGGTCGGGGTTGCGGCTTGGGTGGTTGCTTCACTCGATGTTGCCATTGTGATTGTCGTTTGTCTGTTTATGTGGTTGTGGCTGTTGAGTTGTTGACACGTTGAATTGTGATAGCGTGTGTGTGTGTGTGTGTTGTGTGATAACATGTATGTGTGTGTGGCGTGCTGCTTGCTTGCTTGCTTGGTGTAATTGGCTTGTTACTCTCTGGTCGGTTGAGGGGTTGATTGGGAAACAGATGTTGGCAATGTGAAATGAAATGAATTGAACGATGATTACACAAACGCACGAGGAGTATGGCCATCATGCTTGCTTGCGCGCGCCCGCGCGTGTGTGTGTGTTTGTTGTCACAGCTCCTCTTTGTTTGCGTTTTGGAGAAAGTTGACAAAGCTCTCCGCAGACCGGCCGCCCTGTGCATTCATTGAAGTCGGGAAGAGGGAAGGAGGGCGGCGGCGGGACTTGTGAGGGAAAAGAAGGAAGGGGCGAATATAACATCCAGTGTTTAACAGCACAGCAAAACACTGATACACATGCAGACACACGCACACGTGTACACACACACACATACCCTGTAGTCTGTGCCGTCTGTGTCGCCGCGCTTGAAGTGCTTGATGGTCGGATATCCGCGGATGGAGAACCGCGAGCAGAGCGGCGTCTCAACGGTGCAGTCAACAGCCGCCATCGAAACTGCTCGTGTGTGTGTGTGTGTGTGTGTGTGTGTGTGTGTGTGTCGAGACATGTGAAATCATGGGTTGGAACAGTCGCTTGTTGACAATCGATGCAGTGAGTTCCACGCGTCAGTACAATCACAGAAGCACCACCGCCCCTTTCTCCTTATCAACTCACATCTCTCTCTCTCTCTCATGAACGTACGCGTGTTCTTGCTGGCGAGCCTGTCCGCTGCTGCCGCCACCTCTGGCTTCGCCTTCTTGCAGTGCCCGCACCCTGAACACACACCGAGTTGGAGTGACGATGAGTGTGTTTGTGTGTGTGGTTTTGTGTGTGCACATGTGTGTGTGTGTGCACATGTGTGTGTGTGTGTGTGCACATGTGTGTGTGAACGCAAGTACAAGACACGTGCTGCTGCGTGGCTCTTGTGACGTCAGAATGTCAACGCTAATCACAATCACAAAGTACATGTACAAACGCACATGGGGCGAAGAAGAAGACGAGGGTGTGGTCGTGGCTTTTGATGTGATCATCGAAACTCGCAGCCGTCAAGTGATCCACCTGAGACAGGGGGATTTACAATGGTGGCCGCGGCAGTGAGGAATACAGAGGCGCTCAAGCGACAACCAAGGGCAACAACAGCAACAACATAAACAACAACAACTTAAACAACAGCAACAACATAAACAACAACATAAACAACAGCAACTTAAACAACAACAACAGCAACTGAAACAACAACAACAACAACAACAACAACAACAACAACAACAACAACCTAAACAACAGCAACTTAAACAACAACAACAACTTAAACAACAACGACCAAACAAGGCTCCACCAAATCAGCACACGCGTCACCTGTGGTGCCTCCTGTGAGAAGGGCTTTGGCGGTGCTGGTGGCGGCGGTCTGTTGTCTGGATCACGCATGTACTCAACAAAGCCCTCAGCCGTGCGCGCACCCTTGTACTCGTCCTTAACCTTGCCAAACTTGAAATACTTGATGGTGGGGAAACCGCTCACGTCGTTCTCGGAGCACAGATCGTCGTTCTCTGGCGCCGTGCAGTCAACAGCAGCAAACATTACCCTATGTGTGTGCGTGCGTGCGTGCGTGCGTGTGTGTGTGTGCGTGTGTGATTGGTGCAATTGTTGGAGGGCTGCGAAAGCTCAAAAAGTCACACAGATACGCACAGTGACAAGCACACAGACATGCATCAATCCACGTACTTTCTGTTGTCTTTGAGGGTGGCTGCCGCCTTGTCCATCTCTGGCTTTGCGCGCTTGCAGTGCCCGCACCACTGCCATGCATTGATTGATGATGGTGGTGACGATGATGGTGATGGTGAACATGGCGCGAACGTACACACACACACACACACACACACACACACACACACACACACACACAAGACACACACACACACACACACACACACACACACACACACACACACAAAGCACAGCAGAAAGCGTACCGGTGCGTAGAAGAACACGAGGGCGTGCTTCTTCTTCTTTGTTGCGGCCTGATGCAATGTGACGATGGTCATGGTGGTGACAGTGGTGGTGGTAATGATGATTGAGGAATGCGTGTTTAAAAGTGAAGTACAAACATGAGTAAACGTTATCATGAGTAAACGTTCAAAACGAGCGACCACAATTAAGCTCACGCGCAGGAACAAACACGCAACTGAGCACGCAAGCAAGCAATCAAACAAGCAAACACCATCAACAACATCAGCATCATCACCTCGAATGTGGGTCCCGTGAGATGCACCACGTCTGTGTCTGTTTCGCTCCACGGGACTTCAGCGGGCGGTGGTGGCGGTGGCGGTGCATTTGGATCTGCCATAAAGTCGAGCTGTTGACGAGGGAGGCAGAAGAATGGGACAGGGGGGGGGAAGGAAGTAAGTGCGATGTGAAAAAAAAAAAAAAAAAAAAAAAACAACAAAAAAAACAACAACAACGCACACACGCACACACACACGAACTCCATACATACATACATACATACATACATACATACATACATACATACATACATACATACATACTACATACATAAATACATACCCACACATGTCACCCCGGCTGTACTCACCACGCCCTGTTTCGTGCGTGCGTTGGGGTAGTCCTTGTTGACACTGCCCTTCACAAAGTGCTTGACAGTTGGGAACCCCTTCACGTCATATTCGCCGCACACATCCCTGTTCTCGGGCTTGGTGCAGTCAACAGCAACTGCATGGGTGTGTGTGTGCGTGTTGTATGAAGTAAGGGAGAGCGTGTGTGTACATGGGTGAGTGTTTGTGTGTGTGTGTGTACATGCGTGAGTGTGTACATGCGTGTACATGCGTGTGCGTGCGTGTGTGTGTTTGAAAGGGTGTTTACATCAGGAAGAAACACAAGTAAAAGGGGCAGCGAGGTGTCGAAAAGCGGTCAATGCACATCACCATCGTGACCACATGCAAGAGGGAAAAAAAGTCGCGTCATCGTACCGAGAGTGCCGTGTCCTTTTGCTTTCACCTCCGCCGCCGCCTCTGTGAACGGACCCTTGAACGCTTTGCAGTGCCCGCACCACTACACACACACACACACACACACACACACACACACACACACACACACACACACACACACAACCGAGTGCATGGGCACGCATGATGAGGTGTAACAAGTGGAGCAGAGAGGGGTGGGAGGAGGAAGAGGAGGAACGTGCGCTCCAAACACACACACACACACACACACACACACACACACACACACACACACACACACACACACACACACACACACACACGCACACACACACACACACACGCAGGCGACTGACTGGGGCGTAAAACATGACGAGTGCGCTGTCCTCCTGCGCAAGGCGTTCGCTAAACGCGTTTTGTCCCGTGATGTGAACCACATCGGACGGTTCGTCCTCCCATGTCGTCTCTGGTTCAGGGGCAGTGGCGGCAGGCGCCTTGTCCGGGTTTTGCATAAAGGCGACGATGGCGTCTTTCTCCCGCTTCCCCTCGTACGCCGTACGCAGCTCACCGTTCCTGCACACACGTGATTGAGTGATTGAGATAGATAGAGAGAGAGAGAGAGAGAGAGCAAGTGTAGGCGTGCGTGTGTGTGTGTGTGTGTGTGTATGAGCGTATACAGTGCTTCACACCTCGCACGTGACTCTCCCTCTCCCTCTCCCATCATCCCCTATTCGCTCCACCATCACCACCACCGCACCCACCACCATTCCAAATCCATATTCATGCATGTGCGCGAGAGCGTGCATTGCGTCGGTGCTCACTCGAAGTAGAGGAGGGTTGGGAATCCCTTCACGCCGTACTGCGGGCCCGTCATCCGTCCCTCGGGCGCGTTTGCATCCAGCGCCGCCAGCCGCCGCTTCACCCCGAGCTGAAACACACACACACACACATGTATACACACACACATGTACACATGCACACCCATGTACACCAATGTACACACACATGCACACCCATGTACACGCGCGCACATGATGATAGTGGTCACGGTTGGTCGTCGGTGAGTGTGTGTCGTGGGTCGTTGGTGATTGGTGGTCGTGCGGAAGCAGTATCGAGGGTTGAACACTCCCTGCAATCACACACACACACACACACATGTGCGCACACGCAACGACGTTTCCCCCTCACACCTGCTTGAGCTCGGTTGCAGCCTCCTGGTACTTTGGTTTGAGCGCTTTGCAGTGGCCGCACCTGTGAACAAGACAGCACGGTCGAAGGCATGGTGACACATGGTGGAGAGGGTGAATGAGGCGACCGAGAGCACATGAGTAAGGATGTGACATCTTGCAACATCACAGCAACTGTACACAGATGTGTACGCGCGCACATAGATGCAAACACAGACACACACACACACACACTCTCTCTCTAACACAGACACGCATTACCACACAGACAACACACACTCTAACACACACACACACACACACACACACACACATACACACACACACGCACCATGGGGCGTAAAACATGACAAGCATGTCTGTTTTGCGTTGGAGATGCTTGGCAAAGGTCTGACACGATGAACACGTGCGCAATGAGATCGGTTAGTGGCTGAAGCAACGGCAGTGTATGAGCACCCACGCACACACAGAGACATTAACAAAAAGTGCGCACACGCATGAGAAACAACTGAGGAAGAAGTAGACAAGTGCACACACCCAAACACACAGACACACACCCAAACACACAGACACACACGCACACACACACACACACAGACACCTGACACAAGCAACTACCCCTACCCACCCCGTGTTGGTCACCTTGTCGTTGAGGTGCAGCACATCCTGCGCTTCATCCACTTCGTCCCATGGCGTATCACCCGTTGGATCCTGCCGCACACGGGTGAAGACAACGACGATGGTGGTGGTGATGATGATGATGATGATGGTGGTGGTGTTGGTGGTGGTGGTGTTGGTGGTGATGAGCCGTGTGCATTTGGGGTCGTGCGATGCCAAAACTTGCCTCAGCAGCAAAGAAATGGCGCCCGCAAACAAAGCATGCAAAGGCAGCTGCCACACCAGACATTGACGCGTCCATGTCTGCATCTGCACACCTGCATGAAGCGAAGAATGGACTTCTTTGCAAGTTTGCGGTCGTAGTCCTTGTTGAACGATCCTTTCCTGCACGCATACACAGGACAACACCAAGTTGCAGCCCATCAGCACATGTAAACGCGGCACAGACAAACACAGACAACAAGAGAGAAAGAAAGAGAGGGAAAGGGAGAGACAACGCGAGAAGTATAGAGGAATAGTCCCGGCCATCCTCCAACCATGCGCAATGTGACATCAACTTCTTACAGGTAGTGCTTGAGGACAAACGGAGATGGCTTCATCTTCATTTTGCGGCACGTCTTCTTGCCTTCGGAGGTGCTGCAAGCGCAAACAGCACAGACACAGGAAGCGGGAATGCCACCCCACAGTGAATGAACCACGCGATCTTCGCAATCCCCCAACACACACATGCACGCGATGTTGGGGGTTCAGGCGGTCATATGTTTCAGGTGCCACTCCTTCCTCCATGAAGACACACAGTGTCCCTGCTCACGACGCTGCCACGGACACACACCTGCAGTCGACAATGGCGACGGTGCCCACACCCACAATCTCGTCTGCAACGTCGTCCAGGACGCGCTGCAGGTCCTTCTTGGCCGATTTCTTGTTGACGGCAAGCACGAGCACGCTGTTGCGGGTCCGCAGGAGCTTCTTCAGCGCCTTTTCGTCCTTTGGGCGCTCAACAGCGCTGGCGTTCGCCTCGCACGCCTGCACGATGTTTTCGTTGGTGATGTTGTCGATGTTGTGATGACATGGCAGGACTGTGCGTCAGGAATGCACACTCGCACACATACTCGTACTTCCACACATACCTACTCAGGCTCACACTTACACACACGCTCACCCACTCACACACACATACTTACGCCCACGCTCACACACATACTCACGCTCACACGCACACACATGCTCACACATACACCCTGCCTTCTGCTCACCAGCAATAGCAGCGCCACTGCTGCCAGCGACACCATGACGGCAGCAGCGAAGCCAAAGCGAGCCATGCTGATGTCTCAAGTTGAAGAGGTTCAGCAGCAGTGGGTGGCAGTCGTCGTTGTCGGTTGTGCAGTCTTACTACAGTATATGTTGTCGTTCCGTATCCACTGCAAGCACTGCGGAATAATCGCGGGCGTCTTAAACGAAACACGTCAACAAAAATAAAAAAATCTTCGCTGCCTGACAGTTTGTTTGGCTTTGATTTTGGTCGCAACGACAACCAACCAACCAAAGCACCAAACCAGCAGGTGTGTGTTGTTTGGATGCGACGGGAGCTGCTTGCTGCTCTCTGGATGCGAGGGGTGTGTGGTGTCGTTGCTGGTTGGTGAGGTGGGTTGGTTTGGCATGGGTGCTTGTGGTGGGAGAAGTGAGTGGTGGAAGAGGAGTAGGAGCAGTAAGAGGGAAAGCAAGTCATGTTTTGTGCATTGGGGCACTTCACTCACACTCACACACTCACACACACTCACTCACCCTCACCTCATCACCATCACCCAACATCGTCATCGTCGTCATCACGTCACTCGCTGCTGCCGCTGCTCGGGGTGTGTATATGACAGAAGGGTTTCGTCGTGTTGTGCGCCTGTGTATCTTGTGCGTGTGTGTGTGTGTTTGATTTGACCGACTTGGCTGGCAAAGATGGCGTTTCGACGTCCCATGGTCCACCGCGCGGACATTGCCGAGAAGATGGCGAGCCGCGAAGACGACTGGACAGCGGAACTTGGCTTCGGTGCGTTTGGTGTATGATGTCCCGGCTCGTGGGCTGCTGGAGTGGTGGTGGTCGTGGTGGTGGTGGCAGCTTTGCTTCACTGAGATGCACAGACGGCGGTGGGCGTACACTGCTGCGAATGCTGATTGTTTGGCCGTGTGTGTGTTCAGCCCCATACTACTGTGTGCCGTTCACTGTCATGTCGGTTGGTCGCACTACGCATCTCGTCTCTCATCAACCACATCATGTCACGCCACGAAACCAGAGTCCGATGAGCTGGACGACGATGACAAGTCCAGTGCGGAAGAGAGTGAGGACGACGATGATGACGACAAGGCCGGTGAGTAGCCTTTGCGCTCGGTGTGTGTGTGTGTGTGACCGTGAACGTGTCAGGAGGATCCACCTGTGGCACGACTGCCTCCTGCGTTATGACACACGCACACGCACATACTCACGCAACGTTTGGCTGCATCGCACCACCACCACCACCACGCTGTGCTGGTTTCAGGCGTGAACTTTGTTGAGTACCTCGCCCTGCAGCGCTCGCTCAAGGCCACGACCGAGAAGAAGACAGAGGTGAGTGTTGCGTCGTGCATGTTTGTGTAGTACGTGTATGCGTGAGCACACGTGTATGCGTGAGCGTTCATGTGCGTGAGCGTGAGCGGGCGTCTGTGGTGCCACCATCCCGACCCTTTGCCGCCGCCTTGCACCCTGCATAGCCGACTTGGATCACCCCTCCCTCCACCCTCCATGTCCACCGTGCACTTATTAACCCCTCTCTAACACCACAACTACCACCAACGCGTTGCCCCCCCTTGCGTGTATCAGCTGCACAAAGCGCTGCAGCAGACGCGGGCAGACCTGAAGCGCACGCGGCGGCAGCTGGACCAGTCGGAGCAGCGCAACCGCATGCAGCGTGCCATCTTCGAGCAGGCACATGCCAAGAAGGTGTGGGAGCAAGGAAGCAGTGGTATTGGGGGTGATGTGATGTGATGTGTTGGGGACGAAAGAGGAAGAGATAGGAGGGACATGGAGGAGAAGAGCAAGGAGGGGGTGATGATTGGTGTGGGTCATGTGTTCAATGGTGACTCGCACGACTGCCGGTAGACTATCGGAGATACACACACACACACACACACACACACACACACGCTCCTTCTTGCTTTTGACGGTGTGCCTGTTTGTCTCACCTCCCACTCCCCAACCCGACCTCACCATGTGCCCCTCCTCCTCCTCCTCCTCCTCACCATCACCGTAAAACTCCCAGCTGCTTGACAAGGACAATCTGATTGACAATCTGAAGCTTTCGCTGGAGGACCTGCAGGCCGGCGCGCAGCAGACGGAGGGCCTTATGAAGATGGTTGGCCAGATCACAGACCTCACAAACGAAAAGAAGTCAGTCGTGCTCGCTGGGTGGAGCTGTAGATCGGAGTGTCGTTGATTGCGCTACTGTGTGTGCATGGTGTGGGGCGCGGCGTGCCTCTCCCAATTGCCGCCACAACCACAATCTCATCATCGCCACCATCACAACCACATTCTCATCAACAACACAACACCCACCACAACAACCACCACGGCGGCAGGGAGTACTTTGAGAAGGCCGAGCTGCTTGCTGCGGACCTGCAGCTGGCAAAGGAGGAGCTGTCTGCGCTGGAGAGCGAGCACGCCGAGCGCATGGAGGAGAAGGATGCCGAGATCAAGGATCTCCAGGACCAGTTTGACCCCGTCAAGGTGCGGTTGTGTGTGTGTGTGTGTGTGTGTGTGTGTGTGTGCGTGCGTGTGTGTGTGTGTGTGTGTGTGTGTGTGTGTGTGTGTGTGGGCGGGGTCGACGAGGATGGATTTTTTTTTTTTGCTTTTTCTGTCGCCTTCGCATCACACGTAACTCCCTCCCTCCCTCCATGACCATGACCACCACCGCTGCTGCTGCAACTAGGCTGCCAAGGCGAGCGGGGGTGCGGGCCCGAGTGCGCTGGACAATGAGGAGATTGAACAGTTGCGCAAGGAGGCGCAGGAGCTGCGCTCAAAGCTCAGGGACGCAGAGTTCCAGGCAAAGACGGGGTATGTTGGTTGAGGAGTTGAGGTGTGCGGAGTTGATGGGCGTGTTGATGCGTTGGTCCAGGGGTGTTGATGTGTTGATGTTGATGCGTTTGGTTGGTGAATTGGAGGTGGCTGTTGCGTGTGTTTGCCCTCGTACTCTCCCCCTTATGCATGAACTCACTTTCAACAACATCACACACACGTGTACTCACACACACACACACACACACACACACACGCACACACACACACACACACTGCTCATCAGCAGTGCTGGGGTGAGCAGTGGAGATGCCGCGAAATTCAAAAGCGAGATTGAAGCGCTGCAGCGGAAGAACGACGAACTGCGTGAGGACCTGCGCACAGCCAAGAGCCAGGCAGCAAAGCTCCAGGCACTCTCGTACGTCGCACTTGCTGCTGTTGGCGTTGCCTTTTAGCGGTGGTGGTGTTTGTGTAATGTGCATGTGTGTGTGTGTTTGCGGTGTCTGCCTGTGTGTGTGTGTCGCTGTGACGTGAAGCTGGTTCCCATCCATCTCATCATCTCACCATCTCACCATCACACCATCACACCATCTCACCATCACACCATGGTATCTTTTGACATGATCATGCCGTGATCACCAGGAGCTCTGATGCGGACAAGGATCAGCGGCTGACGGAGGAGCTGCGCCAGCTGCAGGAGGAGCTCTCACAGGAGAGGTGGGGACGAAAGACCATCATACACACACACACATACACATGGGATGCGAGGGACGGAAGAACACATGTACATGCACACGCATACGCACGTGTACACGCTCACTCGAATTTTCTACTTCCTTGCACGCCTCGCCTTGTGTGTCATTACCCTCCCTCCCATGCGTATATGCGTGTGTGTGTGTGTTCCTTACATCCGTGCTTGTGTGTCGTTACCTCACCTGCTTTTGCTCTGTGTGTGTGTGTGTGTGCGTGCGTGTGCATCAGGACGAAGCTGCGTGAGGCTGTGCGGCGGGCGGACGCGACGGCAGAGGAGCTGACGACGGAGAAGGCGACGCACGAGCGCCTCAAGACGGAGTTCAGCGACCTCAAGGCCTCGCTCGACGCCCAGAAGGCCGCACTCGAGGCGAGCGGTGACTCTCAGGTCTGTACGCACGCGTATGTACACAAGGAGGGGAGGGATGTACATGTGTACATGTGCATATGTTGTGGTTGCCTTTGTGTGTGTGTGTGCAGGTTCGGGGTGTTTGTTTTGTTTGTTGTACATGCTGCACTCGACCTCGCTTCCTCGCCCATTTCGCGTCCCTCCCTCACCCATTTCACCTCACCCTCACCCCCATCTTCCCACTTGCTTTCCTCCCCCGTGTGAGCAGAAGAGCGCGCAGGCGCAGCTGCAGTCGCTGTCGAGCGAGCTTGCGGCAGAGAAATCGTCGCACAAGGCGGAGAAGGCCGCGCACGCCGACACGCGCACCGCTCTCGACACGGCCAAGAAGCAGCTGGTAGGCACAACACACACGCTCATGCACATACCTTGTGCACCACGCTCCTTGTGTTTGCTTCTGTGTCCTTGTTGTCACACACTCCATGCACACCCTCATCATGTACACCCTCACCATCTCCCCTCACCCCCCCCCCATACCAACTCGCTCGCGTACAGGCTGAGGTGAAGGACGAGATCGACCGTCTGAAGAGCGATTCTGATGCACAGATGCGCGCAGAACGCGACAAGTTCGCAGACACCCTCCAGAACGTACGTCGCATTGGTGGTGGTGATGGTGGTCGTGATCGTCGTTGACACAAAAAGAACATGTGACGTGGACATACCCACACATATCCCCCCCCCCACACACACACACACTAACTCACTCACTCACTCACCCCCACACAACAGGCCAAGGCTGCGCACGCGAGCGAGATTGCCGAGCTGAAGCAGCGTGCAGAAGACGACATGCGCGACCTGAAGGACAGGCTGGGCGATGTTTCTAAACGCGTGCGGCCTATGGCCGAGGCCATTTCGTTCCTGGCGAAGAACTACAAGGCGCTGTCCAAGGAGGTGCGCGACCTGCAGGGCGAGATTGAGCCCGCGGTGAAGCAGTGCAAGCGGGACCTCCTCCGCACGCTCGCCGACGTCGACAAGCAATACAAGGAGATGTTGCGCAAGTACCGCAAGGAGGTGAGACACGCGGGGTGTAGATGTGGATTTTTTATTTTATTTTTTCGTTTGGGAGGGAAGAGGGGAGAGGAAGAACGGTGTACAGTGGTGGTGGTGGTGGTGGTGGTGGTGGTTGTGTGCGTGTGTGTGTGTGTCTATGACTTACTCAATCGATTTCCCTCTCCCACCCATCCACCCCCGCCTTGCTCTGCTCCCTGCGTGTGCCCAGATGGCGCTGCGCAAGAAGCTGCATAACCAGCTCGTTGATCTGCGCGGCAACATCCGCGTCTTCGGCCGTGTCCGGTGAGATGGTGGTGGTGTTCTTGTTCTTGTTCTTGTTCTTGTTGTTCTTGTTCTTGTTCTTGTTCTTGTTCTTGTTCTTGTTCTTGTTCTTGTTCTTGTTCTTGTTCTTGTTCTTGTTCTTGTTCTTGTTCTTGTTCTTGTTCTTGTTCTTGTTCTTGTTCTTGTTATTGTCGACTGCGTGAATGCTCCCGCCATCGCCCACCACCACCACCACCACTTGAACCCCTTCACCCTCCCTCATTCTCCTCACCCCACCGCCGCCGCGCCAGCCCCGTCATCTCTGAGGATGGCAAGGACGCGTCCAAGGTGAAGATTGTCGTGCGCACGGACCAGACGGACGACCA